ACACCTTTGAGATTAGTTTCTTTTACTCAGCATAAAGCTTTGCAGATTATCCAAGCTGTTGGGTATATCAATAGTTCATTCCTTTTTATTGCTGACTAACATTCCTTTGTATGGAGAGTCATGCACTACTTTACCGACGGGAATATGTTCTTCACAAACCTAGATGGTATAGCCCACTACACACCTAGGCTATATGGTAGCCTGTTGCTCCCGCCACTGTTGTATATGTGCTCCCTTGTTGACCAAAATGCTGTTAATGCAGCATATGACTGTACTACAGTTTATTCACTCATTCACTCCTTTAAAGACATTTTTTGGTAATTAAGAAAAAAGCTGATATAAACATTCATGTACATGTTTTTATATGAACATAAGTTTTCATTTCCTTAGGGTAAATGCCTAGGAGTGGAATTGCTGGGTCCTACAGTAAGCCCAAATTTAACATGTGGTAAATAAGTATATGTTTAACTCTTTTCCAGAGGCGCTGTATCATTTTGCATTCCCAACAGCAATGTGTGAGGGGTAAAGTTGCTCCATTTCCTCCTCAGCACTTGGTATTGTCAACAGTTTTAATTTAAAGCCAATCCAGCCAGCCACCAAAAAAAAAAAAATTAAAGTCATTCTAATGGTGTGCAGTGGTATCTCAGTTTGCATTCCCCTACAGTATAGTTATGTTCAACTTCTGTTCATGAGCTGATTTGCCACTCTATATCCTCTTTGGAAGTACTTGCCAAAGCCTATTAAACACTTTTAATTAGACTGTTTTCTTACTGTTGAATTTTCAGAGTGCTTTACATATTCTGAATTTGTAAATATTTTCTCCCAGTCTGTAGCCTGCCTCTTTTTATTCTGTTAAAAGTATCTCTTGCAAGCAAAGTTTTTAATTTAATGAAAATTGGGCTTCTTTCATGAGTCATGTTTTTGCTGTCATCCAATGAACTTACTGCATAAACCCAGGTCACACACACGCGCACACACACACACACACACAAAAAAAAAACCCCAAAAGCAGACTGGCCAGTTAGATCAGTTTGTGCATGGTGTTATAACACCAAGGTCAAGGGTTCAACTCCCTGGCCAGTTACCAAAACAAACAAACAGACAAAAAAAACCAAACCAAACCCAGGTCACAAAGATTTTCTCCTATGTTTTCTTCTAAAAGTTTTACAGCCTTATATCTCATATTAAGATGTGTAGTATATCTTAAGTTAATTTTTGTATAATGTGTGTGGTCTAGGTTAAGGCTCATTATTTTTGTACATGGATGTCAAATAGTTCCAAAACCATTTATTGAAAAAATTGTTCTTTTTCCACTGAATTGCCTTTGCAATTTTGTAAAAAATTGACCATATTTGTGTGGGTCTACTTCTGAAATCTCTATTCTATTCCATTGATCCGTATGTCTAGCCCCTTACCAATACCATGGTCTTGATTACAAAAGCTTTGTACTAAGGTTTTTGTTTTTTTTTTCCTTTTTGTCTTTTTTCATGACCGGTAACGGTATCACAACCCTCAGTGTCGCGCCCGTACCGCGATCGGCAATGGGATCGCAACCCTCAGTGTCGCGCCC